CCCGTGTTTGCTAGTGACGTTTCTACCTATAAACTCCTGATGCCCTTTTCACTTGTGAATCCTTCTGAGCGATTAGGTCTTTGTGAGATTAGCACCCCAGTAGCTATGATGTTTTCTACGGAAGATGAAAATTGCGTAACCCTGTGCTTTCTGGCCTCACGGGCTAATGCTCTGCCCTAGATTTTATAGTAGCCTTTTTTTCCCCTGGCGTTTTATAGGGCAGGTAGGATTAAACTTACTGACGTGTCCGTTTTTAGTACAACTTCGTGACCAGTGTTTCAAGCAACCTGTTAAACAGCAGGTTGTGCTAGCAAGGACCAAAGCACAATGGCATTCCACGCCGGAAGATGTCCAATGTGCTCTAGGCACAACCTGTGTCATTCCAGGGACCACTGAACGCCACGTTGCCTCTTCCATTGGGTAGCGTTCCACAAGAGCTGACACACGGCTGTGTGTGCCTTTGAGGGATGGATCACTTTGACTCAAGTCTTGTACCATGGGGGGTAAACTGGCTAAAGGGCAAAAGTTGATGTCAGGACGCTACACGTGCTAGGTAGCTTCCCTGCCCTTTTTCCTGCGGCATGTTGCGATGCCTTCTGCCTTGGGCGTGTAGGTTGCGACATCAGGGGGACCTGTCTCCGTTCTCTGAGCATCAGTCTGTATCTGTTACCAAAACTGCCCATCTGAGAAGGGGGCCTTAAACCGACTTTACGTACTTTGCTTGTTTAGTTCTACTAGGACGTTTATTAACGTTACACAAATGTTTCTTGCACCCGGGAGATGGGAGGGCAAGGGAGTCCCTTGGCGTGCACAAGCGTAAGCCCTACACCAAAACCACCATTCCTAAGCGCTGGGGAAAGGTCCTACAGACACCGGGGAAAGGAGTTTAGCTGCATGTTTAGTTACAAACCATCTGTGTGAAGTAGAGTTGAGTGACCAGTGATGGGCAAAAAGTGTTGTGGGCATCAGACTTCGACCAATGCAGGAATCAGACCCATCGGCAGCTGCTATCAGAGGTGGAGTCCCACGCCTGTAGCCAAACAAAGTCAGTGATGCCCAAGGCACTGGTGATGGCAAAGGGGGGTGGGCACCTCGCGTGTGCGAATGCGTTACTCTGTGAGCCTCTTGCGACCCACGGCAGCATCTGTGCCGCCCAGCTGATTTGCAGAGATGTGATGCGAGTGGCTGTTGTCTTACAGCGCGGCGTGGTTGGGTTTTGTTTTTGTTTTGTTTTTTAAAAAACCACCTCTCTATTCCGCTTTGTGCGTGTAACCAAGTTGAACCGAAAGCGAATTGTGCCAATGCTGTTTACATGACTACACAGTGTAATGCTCTTCTGCCTAACGTTACCGTATGCCTTATGTGTTCCACATGTTAATTAAAAGCATAACAAAAACCTCGTGGGCACGTGTAGCTGCTTGTGATGCCGTGGGGGTTAAGGATGTTGGGTGGCATAAAGCAAAAGTTGTGTGGGTTTGTCTGTGGCCTAGCAATGCATCTGGGGTGCGCTGTCGCACCTGGGTGGGACCTTGTCCCATCCATTTCATGCTCGGTCGTGTGACCAGAGGAGTTGGGCAATAATAAATGCTCCCTGGTTTGTTAGTAATCCAGATCAGTCACACTGGGAGGGGAGCCAAGATCTACCTTATGTGTTTTAAATACAGCTGCGACCTCCTTAGTCCAGCGCATGTAGGACCTGAAACCGTCTCAGAGGGAGTTGGTGGACCAGGGGAGGTCAGCCGCTTTGCTGACAGACTCTGGGCTCTCCTAGGGTCTGTCAGCAGATGGCCAGACTTCCTTTTCCCAGGCCACTGGGCAGAGCTGGTCTTAGGGGCGGGTGAGTCGGGCAGTTGCCCCTGGGGCTGCCGACCTCCATAATCCTCTTCCCAGGTTTCCCTGGTTACTCCCTGACTTTTTTCTTTCTTTCTTTTTGGCCTGGGGCTTCCAATTGGTTAGAACCGGCCCTGCCACTGGGTTCCCGGCTCTGGGGTCAGCCCCAGGGGTGCTGGAGCTCCGCAGCCCTTGGGCTGCTGGGGCTCAGCTATTCCAGGACGCCTGGGGCTCCGTGACCAGACGGGAGGCTGCTCCAGGGCCACCGGGAGGGACTCCACTGCCTCAAATCGGGACGCTCTGGCCCAGGGACTCTCTTTTCCAGCAACATCCTTGCCAGGCCAGAGTAACTCAACCTGTAGTCACTGACTCGGGGCTGCGGTGGGGGGTGTAGCAGCAATGCCACTGGCAAAGGTGAAAGGAATCGCCATGCAACGTGACCAGGGCGAGCCCTCGGCGGGTCCAGCAGGGAGCCGTGCGCCAGAACCTCGATGGGTACAAGCGTCACCCCTTGTTAATAGAAACGTATCGGGGGAGCACAGACTGGTGGAGAGAGCATGTAACGCTGCACAGCTGGTATGAATGCAAAGCAGGCCCTAGGCAGCAGGCTTGAGTCTGTCCTCCCAAAATTTAAAGCCCACCCCTCTCCTCCCACCTTCTACGGGGCGGGGTACGAAGCAGGTCAGGGACCACGGATCCACAGGAAGATCAGTTGGGCTGCAAAACACCTCCCTGATGTGGCCCTCACACACCAGAGCCTGGTGGGGCCCAGGCTTGTGGATTTTGTGGGGCGAAAAGCCTCCAGGCAGCACTTCACTGCCACAACCAGGGGGGAGGGGCAGCAGGTGGGGTCGCTTCCTCCCCACGTCAGGCAGAGGCCGTGGGTCGGATCTGGTTCTGGCTTGCCTGACTCCGGCCCACGAGGGGCGAGGCTCCTCCCCACGCAGTGCGGAAGCAGGGCAGGTGCTCCAGCCCTGTCGGGGAGGGGCGTGTGGCTGGCATGCCAGCGCCGGCTCTCCCATACTCGGGGGGAGCCTCGGGGCCAGATCCAGGCAAGGACAGGGCCTTAGGTTCCCCACTGCATGCACCTCCCCTGCCCTCAGTGCACTGGGTCTGAAAGAGGAGCCAGAGCCGGGTGACGAGGGTCTTAGTGCCTGGCTAACTATTCCTAAGGCTGCTTGTCACCCCGACTCATGCTCTTAGATTGGGGTGGGCAATCATTTTTCCCCGGGGCCACTTCAAAAATGTTTATAAAGTAGCCCGGGGCCATCCTGGAAAGGGTGGGGCCTAAACAGGAAGGGGTGTGGCTATCCCACCCCCAGACCATAATTGGTCTGGGGGTGGGGGAGCCCTTTTGCCCCCTCCCTTCCCACTAGGCACCCATGCCCTTGAAGAGGCTTGGCATGCTCCCTACCCCCAGGCCACTCAGGGCCTGGGGGCAGGGGAGCGCGGGAAGCCTGCAAGGAGCACGTGGCGCTTTGAAGTGCCGCAAGCTCCTTGCAGGGCCGGGTGAAGGAAGCTTCACACAGCTCCCCCACCCTCAGGCCAAAGCCTCTGTTCGGCCCCCGCCCTAACTGGCTGGATCCAGCCTGCAGAGGCCCTTTTGCCCACCCTGTTTTAGATCCTCGGTCCCGCTGGCTCCCAGCGCCGTGAGAACGTGGCTGCTTGTCGCTGATGGGCCAAGCGCTCTCCAGCAGGGAGCAGAGGTTGCCAGACGATGGGGGCGGAGACCCCCCCACCCCTCGAAAGATCTGGCTGCGGATGCCGCCTCTCCCTCGAACAACAGGAAGCAGATTTAGCACAGAGCTTTTGAGCAGCCGCCTGGACCCCAGCTGGGAAATGTAACCAGCAGTGTCATGGCTGCTTTGGGAGGGCTCAGGTCCGTCCTGCCCCCCTCTGCGATCAGCACCAAGTGTTTCTTTGGAGCCCTAAATGCATCGGCACGTTCTCAGAACACGCCACATCAAAGCCGGGAGCGGGGGGGGCTTGCAGGCTCCCAGCCGGAGCCAGGGACAAGCTACTGAACGAGCGGGGAGGGAGGACACATTTATTTGGACTCCTCTGTCCGACGACGACATGGAATGCAAAGTAACAGTGCAACGCCGTGCTCCCTCCAGCCCTGCCAACTTGGGCCCCTGGCTCTCCCTGGATCTGTGCTGGGGCCGGGAGCTCCAGCTTGTCTCTCCAAGGAATGAAAAGCCCAAGGTAACCGAAATGAAGTGTGATTCGGCACTGCCCCGGCTGCTAGTACGTGGGACCCTCTTGTCTGTTTTGGCTCCGTTCGCCGAAGAGGAAAGTGCTATTCCAGAAACTCCCAGGAGCGGCCGCCCCCAAGAGCACAACGGGGTTGTCCCAGCCTGGACCCTTTCTGCCACCAGGCACAGGCCTCCGTCGGAGAGCAGTAGGAGTTTAACACCAGTTAGGCTCGCAGTTCACTGACGCAGAAACAAGCTGTGCTAGAAGTTGCTGGTGGGTGGTTAACAAGCAAGACCAAGTGGGAGCTGGAGCTGGTAGTAGGTAGTTGACAGAAAGAAAAGGGGCAGCTACCATGGCTCCCAGCTGCCGCTGCAGCAGCAGTAGCAGCCATCAGCGCCCTGGACAATGCTGAAGGGTGAAAAGTTGCCCCAGCCTTGCCTCTTCTGCCCAAAACCCAGCCCTTTTCAGAGCCCCCTTCCCCACGCACCCACCTTGCTCAGGGACTCAGTGAAGTCAGTCGGCCACCCTGACAGCAGGTTTGACTTCTGCTCAGCAAGGGTGAGGGTGGGGGGTGGTGAGACGCTGCCACCGGACAGCTCGAGGCTCCGTGTGTTCACACTTGGCACAGGAATTCCTGGCGAGCAAAGGGCCCGGGTGGAGGCGAGTCCCGAGCAGCTCAGCCCTGAACGTGGCTTTGTGGGGCTGGGGCGGGCTTGGAGGACGGCAGCGAGGGGGTGGCTTTGGGCGGCTCAGCCCTGAATTTCACTCGATGCCCAAGTTTCTCAGCACGGCGCTGACCTGGTGGAGGTACTGGGCGTCCGGATAGCCCTTCCTGCCGGCAGAGAGGGAGAGGTGTGAGGGAGTGATCCCGGGAACGCTCACCCCGTGTTCCCAATTCTCCCCTTCCCAAGAGCCACAGGAAGGTTCCTATTCCTGCCCCTCCCCCCATAGCACGCACCTCATTTCCCAGGTTGGGGGGGAGCCAGAGACCTCAATCACACTGGGAACTTTTCAGAGCTCGCGCGTCCCTCCCTCCCCAGCGGCGGCCTTCACTAAGGGCCTCGCCGTGTCCTGCCTCCCAGGGAGGTGGCAAACATGCAGCGGGGAGAGAGTAGCATGAAACATTTTAAAATGGAGGTTGGATGCTTGCTCATTCGTGTAAGAACGGCCATGGTGGGTCAGACCACAGGGTCTAGCCCGGAGTCTTGTGTTCCAACAGCGGCCAGTGCCAGATGCCCCAGAGGGAATGAACAGAACAGGGACTCCTCAAGTGAGCCCTCTCCTGTCACCCGTTCCCCGCCAGTGATAAACAGAAGCTAGGGACACCATCCTTACCCATCCTGGCTAATAAACATTGATGGACACATGAATTTATCTAGTTCTTATTTTAACCCTATTAAAGTCCTGGCCTTCACAACATCCTTTGGCAAGGAGTTCCACAAGTAGACTGTGCACTGCATGAAGAAAAACTTCCTTTTGTTTTAAACCTGTTACCTCTTCATTTCACATGGTGACCCTTAGTTCTGATGTTAGGGGGAACAAGTAAAGAGCTTTTCCTTGTTCACATTCTCCGCATCAGTCATGATTTTATAGACCTGACAAAGCGGCTGCTGCAACCCCGCCAGCTGAGATAAGAGGGTTCAGGGTCCAGAAGCAGCTGGGGGCTCGGGCAATTCCCGGGCACGGTGCTATGTTGCAGCACTGGTGCCAGCTGTCAGCCAGGCCCCGAGATGGGTTCGCTCCCGGGCTGGCTGAGCACTAGGTGATGTGCCAGGCCCGGATGCAGCACAGCAGCCGGGAGTCCAGAACCAAGCCCTGTTCCTAGGCCAACAGCTCACAAGCCAAAGGCCCCCTGGGCCCCGATCCCCTGTCCAAAGGTACCTGGCCTTGCCCTTGTCGAAAGAGGTTTTGTGGGGGATGAGGTGCCATGCCACCCTCTCCTCCCCGTCACAGGACTGGAGCTGGAAGGTCAGGCCCTGCTCAAACGCTTTCTGCAGCAGCTGAGAGATCTTCTTCCCCTCCCTGTTGTCGGGCAGGAAGGCCTGGAAGCGGCCACCCCTATACGGTCTCCCGGGTCGGGGGTCTCCAGCCTAGAAATGGAGGGGGAGAGGAGCAGGGGAGGGAAGAAGGGAGAAAGCTGCCGTGAAAATCAGCCCCGGGCAGAAGTTTGTGTTGGTGGAACGGGGCCGCCCTGAGGTTTGCCCATGGGCAGGCAAAGCCGGTTTCGACGCCTGCCATGGTAACGTTCCCCCCGCCCCCCTCCTGCCGTGAAGGCAGGGTCAGCTGAGGGGAGGTTTGAAAAGCAGCAGCGCTGCACCCCTTCCCCGTCCAGCCCTGCCCACGGAGAGGCTCGCCAGCAGGAAGGTGGCAATGAAGAGGCTGCTAGCGGCCTGGTTGTGACGTTTCCTGCCCTCACACCCTCCTGCACAAATGCGCGTCTCCACTGCGGCTTGAATTGTGGGGGGAGGGGGAGAGAAGATAAGAACGGCCAGACTGGGTCAGCCCAAAGGTCCATCTGGCCCAATCTCCTGTCTGCTGACCGTGGCCAATGCCAGGTGCCCCAGAGCAGGGGTGGGCAAAAGGGCCTCCGTGGGGCGGATCCAGTCCACCAAGTGGGTTTATCCAGCCCACGGATGCCCTGCTGCTCCCCTGCCCCCCAGGCAAATCAGGACCTGGGGTGGGGGGCGTGTGCGAAGTCTCCCCTGCCAGCGGCGCGCCACGCTTAGCATGAACCACCAGGGTTGACTCTCCGAGCCGTGTGCCCCTTGCCAGGTGGGCGCAGGGTGCGAGAGACTGTGTGCGCTCTCCCTGCCCCCAGGCCAGTCAGGGTCTGTGGGGTGGGGAAGCACAGATGTGTCCTGGCCCCGCCCCTTCTGCCCAAGTCCTGCCCCTTTTGGGGCAGCCCGGGACCACTTCAAAAATTTCTGAAGTGAGCCCCCTGTCTAAAATTATTGCCCACTCTTTACCCAGAGGGAGGGAACACAACAGGTAATCCGCACGTGATCCCTCTCCCGTCATGCGTTTCCAGACAGCGGCTAGGGACACTATTCCTCCCCATCCTGGCTAATAGCCACTGGTGGGACCTACCCGCCATGAATTCATCTAGCTCTTTTTTTAACCCTGTTAAAGTCCTAGTCTTCACCGCATCCTCTGGCAAGGAGTTCCACAGGTTGACTGTGTGCTGAGTGAAGAAAAACGTCCTTTTGTTTGTTTTAAACCTGCTGCCTAGTCATTTCATTTGGTGACCCCTAGCTCTTATATTGTGGGACTAAGTAAATAACTTTTCCTTATTCACTTTTTCCACACCAGACTATTGCTGAGTTGGAAGGGGCGTGTAGGAAAAGACTGTCCCTCCTCCGTCCGGGAACAATCAGTGCTGGGCCGGGTCTGGCCTTAAAATAAATAAATAAAGGGGAGGGAGAGGGGAAAAGTTGCTGCCTGTGAACAAGCTGCAGACCTGGCACCCGCAGAAAGCCAGAGGCCCCCCCTTCGGCCCAGGCAGAAGCTGTTTCTGCCTCATTCCACTCTCCCTGCAAAACTCCACTGCTGCGGCACCTACAATGTAAGAATGGACAGACTGGACTAGACAAAGGTCCAGCTAGCCCAGTCTCCTGTCGACCGACAGTGCCCAATACCAGATGCCCCAGAGGGAAGGAGCAGAACAGGCCAATTACTGAGTAATCCACCCCGTCGCCCACTCCCAGCTACCAGGAGGCTGAGGTTTAGGGACACCCAGAGCCTGGAGTTGGGTCCCCAACCATCTTGGCCAATAGCCATGGATATGCTTATCCTCCATTGCCATTATTAAGCTCTTTTTTGAAGTCAGTCATTGTTCTGAGTTTCATAAGACCCCCTGGCAAGGAGTTCCACAGGTTACATGCTGTGTAAAGCAGCACTTACGTTTGCTTTAAGCCCGTTGCCTAGTAAGCTTATTGGGTAATCTCTGGTTATTGTTATGAGAAGGGGAAAAGTACCACTTCCTTATAGTGACGTAAAATCCTGTTTAATGAGTTAACCGGTTAAACATTATGTTTAAGCAGTTAACTGATTAAACGGGAGTGGGCGAGGGCACTTGCTTCAGCCAGGCTGGAATGCCTTTGCCGCGGCGTGCTGGGGTGTACCCGTTGTGGACGGAGGCTGCTCCGGCCAGGCTGGAGATCACTGCCAGCAGCAGGCAGGGTGGGGAGGGCTGCTACAGGTTAACCATTCACATCCCTACTTCTTTATTCGCGCTTTCCACGCCACTCATGATTTTATAGTCCTCACGCATGTGCCCCCTTAGACGTCTCTTTTCCAAGCTAAACAGCCCCGGTCTTATTAATCTTTGCTCACGTGAAGCTGTTCCAGGGCCCTGATCATTTTCATTGCGCGTCTCTGAATCTTTTCCACTTGAATCGCTTTCTTCTGAAATGTGATGACCAGCACTTCAGGTGTGGGCGTACCGGGGATTTATATAGTTGCATGATGCTATGTTTTCTCACATTAGCGACCCCTTTTCTTATGCGTCTTTACATGCGGGGTTCAGCTTTTTTGACCGCTGCTGCACACTAAGCAGATGTTCTCAGAAACGTACCTACACTGACTCAAAGATCTCTTTCTTAGTGGTAACAGCAAAAAGTGGTAGACCCCCCTTTTGTATGTATCGTTGGGATGATGTTTTCCAATGTGCATGGCCTTGCACTGAATTTCATCTACCGGTTTGTGAACTGGTCACTCAGTTCTGTGCAATCCCTTTGTAACTGCAGCCAGCTTTGGATTTAACTTTCTTGAATGGTTTCGTATCATCTGCAAATTTTGCCACCTTCTTGCATATCCCCTTCTCCAGTGAATATGTTGAACAGTGCAGGTCCCAGGACAGAGTCTGGGGGGACTTTAATACTTTTCACTGTGAAAACTGACTATTTATGCCTCCCCTTAAGTTTCCTGTCTTTTAAACGGTTACTGATCCTGGAGAAGACCTTCCTTCTTAGCCCATGACAACTTACTTCGCTTAAGAGCCTCTACTGAGGGGCCTTGACAAAGGCTTTCTGGACATCTAAGTATACTATATCCACTGGATCCCTTTTGTCCACGTTTGTTGACCTTTCAGAGAATCCTAATAGATTGTGGAGGCGGGACTTCCCTTTACAAAAGCAGCATTGATGCTTCCTCAACCAATCGTGTTCATCTTAGCACTGGAAAAAGTTCAGAAAAGGGCAACAAAAATGGTGAGGGGGTTGGAACGGCTGCCATCTGAAAAGAGATTAAATAGACTGGGACTTTTCAGCTTCGAAAAGAGGAGACGAAGGAGGGACATGACAGAGAGCCACCAAATCATGACTGGTGTGGAGAAAGCGAATAAGGAAAAAATATGTACTTGTTCCCATAACATAAGAACTAGGGGTCGCCAAATGAAATGAATAGGTAGGTGGTTTAAAACAAACAAAAAGAAGTTTTTCTTCGTGCAACACACAGCCAACTTGTGGAACTCCTTGCCAGAGGATGTTGTGAAGGCCAGGACTTTAACAGGGTTCAAACAAAGAATAAGATACATTCCTGGAGGTTAGGTCCATCACTACTTATTAGCCAAGATGGGTAGGAATGGTGTCAGAGGCTGGGAATGGGTGACAGGAGAGGGATCGCTTGATGGTTCCCTGTTGTGTTCACTCCCTCTGGGGCATCTGGCATTGGCCACTGTGGGCAGACAGGATACTGGGCTAGATGGGCCTTCGGGCTGACCCAGTGTGGCCGTTCTTATGTTCTTACCTATATGTCATAATTCCGTTTCTTACGAGCGTGTTTCAACTGCAGCTCATCCCCAACTATGCTTCCAATCTGCCTGCTATGCTCCCCCGCCTCCCCTCTTGAGAGCTCAGTGGGGCAGGGACTCTGCTGGGTGCATCCCACGCCCAGTGCAATGGGGCTCTGGCCTCTGACTGGGACAGCTAGATGGTTTAAGGAGAGGGCTGGCCGACTCTCTGTTCTGCCCGGCTACCTACCTCCTGCACCCCGTCAGGGATGTCATAGGTGATCTTGAGCGTCGGGTCTCGAAAGTAGCCAGGGAGACTCTGGGACAAGGTCACGACCTTGAACGTCCCTTTAATAGCCCTTGCTCTCCTGCAGCAGGCGGGGGGCGTGTCGGCGGCGGCGAAGCAAGTCCTGCACAGGGAGTGGCCGCACGGGGCGCGGCAGGTCGCCGCTCCTGCACCCCGTCAGGGATGTCATAGGTGATCTTGAGCGTCGGGTCTCGAAAGTAGCCAGGGAGACTCTGGGACAAGGTCACGACCTTGAACGTCCCTTTAATAGCCCTTGCTCTCCTGCAGCAGGCGGGGGGCGTGTCGGCGGCGGCGAAGCAAGTCCTGCACAGGGAGTGGCCGCACGGGGCGCGGCAGGTCGCCGTGGGCGAGCTCCGGCACGCTTCGCACTTCCCAAGCTTGTGCTCATCACCTTCCCGCCCGGGGCTGGAGTCTCTTGGCTCCCGCTCCGCAGGC